AAACTTCACCTGTATCACCTTCGATCCAAAAGAAACTCTTCTAGAACATTTTAGACATAAGGGTGGAATTTTTCTTTAGAGAACCATCTCTGGGGGACACGGTAGAGCTTCTTACATACCTCAATTGGTTTCCTGTTTCTATATTGTTCTAAATGTATATTTCACTATAGATAGTAACACTAATGATGGGGGATCAGTGTTTAATTTTGCTACATGAAGACACTGAAATAAGTATCTTGTTCCCCTCAAGTACCAATGTAAAATTTAAGAACAAAGAACACATGTCATTTGCTTTCTGTTAGAAGCATTCAGCTTGTGCAGTTTACAGTGTTTACTAAAATAGGCAGAATAATAAATTTTTATTTTGTCATCAAAATATAATCTATTTTTAAATATTTGCCAGTTTATCATTTGAATAATACTTTCTTTCAAAATCAACTGGAAACATACTTTTGGGTAATAATAATGTAAAAACTTCATTATAATGCTTTTTTTACTTCATCATAAAATTTTCAAACTAGTTTTTCTTATTGTACAAATAAAATTATGTTTTTATAAGTTATGTTAAAAAGTAATTATCTCTTACACATGGTTCAGACTATGTGTTTATAAATTCTTCAGATTTATATAATTTGCTAAATCTGCTAAGTTCCAATTTCATTTACATATTATGAACAGTACATTTATTTTAATTTACTGCAAAATCACTAAACCCTTTAATGAAATAATGCTTTTAAAAGGTATGGCAGGCTTTTGCTCTTTATTATGTAAATGATGGTTTTATGCATGTTTTTCCTATGTTAAAAATGACTACATGAATCCAATCTGTCCTCATTTCTCAGATAAAATCATGAGTGCTTTTTGGGAACAAATCAGTTGTTCAGCAATCTTTTAGAACTTAAGTCCTGAGTGTTTTAATGCTAGACTGTGAAATAAGGCAGAATTCAAAGGCGTTTGTGTTCTTCATGATAATCTAGAATTTTTATTTGATTCCAAGTAACTTTGGACAACAGACATGATGGGATGTTTTCTCTTCGAATAAATAACAATTTAATTATATCACTGAAATAAAATATAGTGTGGGCTTAATACACTGTAAATATTACGAAAGTACTACTTTGCTATAGTAATTTAATGACTGAAGCTACATTGAATAACAATCTTACTAGTACTTGTGTACAAAGTATTATACAGATTACTAACGAAGATATTGCCGCAGTTGCAAGGATGTTACCAGCTCAACAAACATCTAACGATACGATATTCTTCTAAGAGGAAAAGTAATAATGTTAGATTTACAGACAATAAAGAGTTATGTTTCCCAGTTGAAACATTGGAAATAAGAATCCAGATAGCCTGGTATCTTGGTTCATACTATCACAAGAAAAAGTTTCCTTTCTTGGGGACTCTGATCCCCAGCAAGCTAGTACACTAAGTTTACGTGAAGATAGGTTTTAGGATGCCACAGCAATGTAAAGAAACTCTTCTATCTGAAAATTACTGATTTGTAGGCCACTGCTTAAACATCTGACTTTTTTTAAAACCTATTTACATACATTCAGCCCAAATCAGTAGATAAAATGTTTTGTCTATATTACAATAGGCATTGTTAACATTTCATCAGAAGGCCAATGCAAGACAATTGTTAATAGCCATTGCCCAGCATTTAGGAGATTTTAAAATATCATACAAATATACAGTTAGATTGTGAGAAATCTAATTCTGCGCATGATATTGGTGGTCTCTTTTACAGATGTGGAATGGCAAAAATGAATCAACAGGACAGTAATTAGAGTGCTACTCATCCAGGGCCTAATTCTCATCTGCTGGTTGGACCTATTCCCTGCAGTGTGGGTTCAGGCAGCCCAAATTCCTTGACACTTAATGCCAGTTAGACCTGACTCAACATGACGGGAAGGTGTGGGAATCATCTCAAGTGTAGGCATATGTCTGCAGCTCCTCCCAGATCCACGTTTCTTTTATATAAATTTCATAGGTAATGGAAAATTAGAGGTTCTTGGAAACAGCCCTCCTTATCTAAATGAAACTATTGGTCTAGGGCTGAAAGATCCATCATTACTCTGAAGAAATTGAACAGGTTGGGAATTTGGCCCTTTTTAAGACATATGTGATCGTGAAATGCATGGTCAGGACAAGTATGTTATCCTCAGAGGTATGTAGGTAAGTCTGAGGTTGGACCTTATAAAACTTATTGAAATTTAAATTATATTTAAGTTAATGGGCCTAATTAAGGGATACTAATGAATGGTAATTTTAATGAGTATATTCATTAGGGAGGACATTGGAGTCTCTTGGGTTAGGAAATGATATTAGAAGTGTCAAAGTGACTCAAAGTAACTGAAATGTTTTAAAATGAAGGTAGTGTAACACGTATGTGATGATATTTCACAGATATTTCTTAGAATATCAATAAGCACCAAGTTTAGTGCCGTCAGCCCCATTGTCCCTTAATTTATTATATATGATTTATATCTTGAAAGCACAGCACACTATAAAATCTACATCGCGTATACACAAATACAGTTTCGAAAATGAATCCTGGAATTTTTCACAAGTAACAAGAATTTCATCTTCACCAGGCCTTCGTAGCTGTGAGAGGAAAGTTGGTCCTGCCTGGTGAGCTCTGAGACACATGGATTAATATTAAGGATAATGCGGACAAACGAGTAGCGATTCTTCAGTGGAACCAGACCCTGGTGAGTGTTTGTAAATAATCTTTTCTCTTTCTTCTAAAGAGACCTTATTCATCCTCCAGCACCCTGAGCCCTCCCCCGCATATCACAGAGAGGTAAAGTGAAGCAACCAACAGGCACATTTGAGCCATATAGACAGATGGTTAAATGCATCCCAGCTTGGCCCACAGTCCACATTCAGCTGTAGACCATACACTGCACAAAAGATTGCCCCGGTAGGCTGCTCATCTATCTAGAGAGCTAGAAATCACCCGATGAGTGCTACCTCTCCACTTCAATCCATGCTACCCAGGCCTCTGGGTCCTTCAAGGAGCCACGCTTTATCTGTTTAAGGAGGAGACTGCTTATAAGTAATTTGTCAGGGTCAAGTGGCCTCTGAAGCAATATTAATGCTAACTGGGCAAGGGCCTAATTCTGAGCACCCATGGCACCATTAAAGAATATGAGACTGGGGCATAAAAAGACAGCAAGCCATGCTCATCTTTATACTCCAGCAGATCTTGCTAACGAGGAGCAGGGGAGAGGTCTATTCCTTAGCCCAAACCTACCCAGTCAAAGCTGGGTCCGGGGTTGTCACCAAGGGCATCTGGATGAAGCATAGAAAGAGTCACATGTCATCCAAGCCTCAGTCACAAGCGTGTCGGCTCCTCACTGTCTTTCTCTGTCTTGCCCACTGTCTGACTGGTCTCCTTCGCCACATGGACCAGACCTGGTGTCCTATTTCAGCAAGAGGGGTACAGTGCTAGTTAAACAGGGTCATATCACTACACACTCAACGGAAAAATGTTACCACAGGGGCTTTATTTAGAACCACTTCCCTTCTGATGATCCGTGGACTTGGTTGACATTAGGTGCTCAGCAACCAAGATACTCATTTCCCAACACTGACATGGTAAATACAGACCTTCACTTGCATCTGTCATTGATGATTCCTTGCCAGACACTGGTCTTTTGAAATATCTAAAGGTCAATTTAGTAGCACTTGACCCAATCTCTCAAGGTTGGGGGAAGGGAGGAGAATTTCCTGAACGTTTATGGTGAGTATTTTTATCAACAAGGTTTCTGGAAGAACTCAATTTTAGAAACTGACTTCATGTGCAAGAATGCAGCGAGTGATACGGTTTACACTTGGTCACAGTTTTCTCACTTTACGACATTACTGTAACAGTTACGGGATACACACACACACACATTTATATTCACACTCACACACGGTATAATTTTACTGATCCAGACAATACTTCTTTTCAATTAAGAAAAAATGAAGACTCATTTGGCCACCCAGGCATGAAATCTACTTAAACCTGGAATATAAGAATGCAGTACCCTTCAAGTAAACAGCAATTGCACAGTGATAACAATATACATTAAGATTGACACATGCTGTCTTAAGAGGTCTAGTAATAGCTAAAGACTAAAGAAAGTCAGAGATGTCAGCCAGAAAAGTCAATATGCCTTCTCTCTTCCATTCTGATTGCAATCCATCACCCAACAGAACAGCTATAGTCCAGAAGATAATAAATGTCCACGTATGAAAATGCAGGGCTAACAAATTTTTAAGTGTCAATGAATTCTGCTCAATATTCTGGATAGTCTTCAAATTCTTCCCGTTGCATTAACAAAAAATAAACCTTTATGGTTATTTCAATGTCAAATTTGAATAGATTGGAAAAAAATGTTAAGGTGTCTAAAAGTCACGGGCAATAATTTTTTAAAAAGTGATCTCACTGGCACGTATCTGCTGCTTGTGTTCCACTGTTATGAAAGTCTACCTTTCAGTTTTGCTGAACTAGACAAATATAAATAACACACAGTAAACACGGATACACATATCACATGACACAATACATTTTTACAAAATAGCTCTACTTTAGTACTCTGTAACTTGTAAAAATGGACATCTCTGATACTTATGGACAAATACATTTCACATTATAATGAAAGTTGTGGTTACAAAGGCATTACTCATTTGATGGTGTTTCCCTGTGGTTACTTAGACTTCAAACTGTGTAGCCACAGGTTTCTCTCCCGTTTCACTGAGACTCTGAAGAAGCTTCAGTCACATAAGCAGCAGGCTTTCTTCACTGTAAACTCCTGAAGAACTGAGTTTCAGTACCTATGCTATTGAAATGCTAGAGAACTGATAACTGATCCTGGTGACAATCACCTTTCACTGAGCATGGTAAACTTAAAAAAATATAACCGATGAGACGACAGACTTTTCTAGATTTTAAGCTTTAAAAAAAAATGAACTTCTTTTCCTGGGCTGCCAGGAAGGCGTCAGGCTCACAGAGCCTCGGCAGACGTGTCTGTGGACACAGACATGGTCACCTTGGCAATCTTGACCGTGCTCTTGATGCAGCTCTCCGCGGCCCTGTGAACACTGGCTGTGTTGTTGGCGTGCTTGTGCAGGCAGTCCGAGTCCCCCATGCTGTTATCAAGAGGCTGTGCGGTGCCTTCACACGAGGGGAACATACTCCGGAAAGCATGTCTCAGGTCCTTGCTCCTCAGAGCGTAGATGATGGGGTTCACGGTGGAATTCAACAGGCACAGCATACTGCAGAAGGCAAACACCGTCTTAATGAGCTTGTTCATCTTCCCAAAGACATCATACACCATAATCGCAAGCAGAGGGCCCCAGCAGATGATTAAAACCACAAGGATCAGAACCAGGGTCTTGGCCAGCCTGATGTCCATGCGGGCTTGGTCGGGCCGTGTCACCTGCACCTTGCCGTCCTCTGACGTGTGGATGATGATGCTCTTCTGGGTGCCGCGCTGAATCATGCGGACCGCATGGCTGTGAGCCTTCCAGAGAATATACATGTATGCGTACACGATAAACAGCAGCAGCACACTGGTGACCCCGATCCAGAACATCAGGTAGGTTTCATCAATGAGCGGGAAAATGTCTGAGCAAACAGACTGCAGCTTCTTGCAGTTCCAGCCCAGGAGAGGCAGCACAGCAATCACAATTGCTATGGTCCACATCAGGCAAAATGCCACCACGGCCTTGGGCCTGGTGACAATCCTCTTATAAGCCAGGGGCCTGTGAATAGATATGTACCTGTCAATGGCCGTGAGGAACAGGCTGCCTACTGAGGCCGTGAAGGAGGCGGTGACCCCACCGAGTTTGAAAAGAAACACATTGGGGCTATCTTTGCGGTGGAACACGTGGAAGTCAACAAAGCTGTAGACAAAAATGACGCTGCCCAGGAGGTCGGCCACTGCCAGGCTGCCGATGAAGTGGTAAGAGGGCCGGCAGCGAAGGCTGCGGGAGTGAAGGATGACACACAGCACCAGCAGGTTCTCCAGAACCGTAAAGGTGCCCAGTGTGAGGGACAAGACGGCGATGGCCAGCTGCTGGCTGGGGTTCAGAATCATGAAGCACTCCATGTCCATGAAGTTCTCCCCACACTGGATGTTCTCCTCATTCTCCTTGTAGGATGAAAGGGACTTGTTGTAAAATTCGGTGATGTTCACCTGGTCTGCCGGGACCAACTGGGAGTTGTCTCCTGCAGTCATCTTTTCTTGGAAGGGACTTCCCCTAAAGGAAGTTAAAGGAAATTTCTGTGGGAAGTACCCTAATTTGGATGCCATGTCACCTTTGATATCTTCGTACTGAATGTCATTGGAGCCCACGTAGAGGAGGTCTGTTGTGATGGTGCGGAAGGTGGTATCGGCAAGGCCATCTAGGATAGACTTCATAACCTCCGTCTTGGATTAGGCCAAACTCAAAATGACTGAGGAGGAGACCCGCAGCAGGGAATCCTAACAGGAGGGAAAACAAATAAGCTGAATGGTGAGAAGACTGGGAGAATAACAATAATTTTTTTGAAACCTACTGTAAATATCCCAAATGTGTACCATCACGTTACTTCATTCCTGTCTCTGAGCCTAAATGAAATTCTTGTCAGATTTAATCAACAAAATGAGTCAGTCAGTCAGAGAAAAGCCACCCGAAGTTGGTGATGTTGGTGGCACCCACCAAAAAATATCTCTTTCATTATTTAAGCTGCCGGATTTAAGTCACTGTGTGATCCTGTACACACTTCCTGATAGTCAAGCGAAAGGAAATGTGCCTTGGGCATGGCATGCACCTCATGGTCACATTAGGAAGTATTTACCACCGGGCTTCTACTGTCACATACACACAGTGTCCTGATGCTGGTGGGGATGGGGGAGAGCGACGTGTCACACAACGTCTGCTCTTGAAGACTCTACCATCTTGTCGTACAGGTAAGACTGAACATACAGCACAACCCCAAAGCAAGATGGTGTGGAATCAGGAACTGTGTTGTACGGCCTGTGTGCTGAGTGCGAAGGAGGAGGAAGAGAGGCTTAGAACCAAAGGATCCTTCCGTGGGAAAAGATCTGGATTCTGGCCTGTCTCCGTTAGGCAAGTTTCCTTTCCCAGAGGAGACATTTGGACCAAGCTATGGCTGAGGTGAATTTCAAAAATGTCCACACAAACCAAGACAAATGTCATGAAGGGCAAACTTGCACTGAGGCTCATGGGAAGACCAAGATCTTTAACCCTGGAAAGCGGTGATGATGGGAGAGTGCTTCCTGACAGTGTCCCCCATGAGTGGTGCAGTGACACAAGCATGCTGGGAGACAGGAAACAGGCCTTTATGGAGTCCCAGTCTTTCCAGGTAGATGGCACCAGAAATGAGGACGACTGAGAAAAGGAGGCCAAATTTTAAGGGTTCTTCAATTCTAAGCTAAGCAATTTGGTTTTGTTTCAAAATAAACATCCAGAAAATTGATTTCACTATTTATAAATGTTTATTTAAAACGTGGCTATTAGGCTCTTTTGCTTCTAAAGATATTAGAAGGACTGAGTGATACCTATAATAATTTTAAAGTAATCATAAAAACCAGCATTTTACTTCCTAATTGTATTTTTCTTTTTTAAAAACATATCACACTGTATTGGAGAGAGAGATAGTTACTACCTTGGAACAAATTTAAATGATCGAGTCCTCCCGCTAAAACACAGAGATCCTACCTATCTGAATTAATGATTCATTTATTCACCCCTTTGACAAATTATGGGGCACCCACTATGTGCCAGGCACTGTGGTAGGTAGGCATAGGGGCTAAGAGTATCGAGAAAGAGTCCCTGTCACATGAAGTATACTGTGTGGCAGAGGACTGACAGCTGACCCCATAATTATGATGAAGTGTGGTGGCAGCTGTGACTGGTGATATGCAAGATACTGTGGGAGCAGCCAGTCTAGGGGGTTGAAGGAGGCTTCCCCAAGGAAAGGATGCTTATGCCAAGAGTATGTAGGATTAGTGTGAGTGGAAACAGAATATGGAGGCAAAGAAAATAAAATTTAAATGAATACCTTCAGTATCACGATGTGGGGGGGGGGGGGTTTGTTCCGTTTATACAGTAATTTGAACCAGGGACAGTGGCTAAATGTGGCCCACCTCCCCACATTCTGCCACACCTGAGTCCAGGCTGTCTCCTGAATCAACTCTGCTCTTTGCAAACCTCCCTTTGCTAAACAACTCCATTTACAAATGAAAATTTTCACCCGCAATCTGAGGGATTCAGAAAATGGCCACGATTTGTGAGAGAGCTGTGAATGGTCCTGGCATATCCTCAAATCTGACTTTTGCCTCTCAACTCCCACCCGTACTAAAACACAGCGCTTTCTGGCCCTGGAAGGCATGCTGCTCTTTGGATCACACCTGCACACCTTCCTTCTTTCCTCTTAGCCTCCCTCCATCCGAAATACCCATTTCCAAGCTCTCCGTTACATTAAGTTTCCTCCATTTCTGACATCTCTTTGGCTAGCCCTCCCCACCAGGCAGAACTAGTTCCCCCAGGCTTTCCCTCTATTACAGGCCCCACCATATCACTTAATCATGAGCTTACATATTTATTTCCATAACTAGAAAATGGCTTCCAAGCACAAGAGTGATGTCTTTTTTTCTTATGTGTTTCACCAGCCTGATGCACAATAGCAGATGAGAAAGAGAGGGCCGGTCTCCCTTAGAAATGTTCATGTGAACCTAATAGTGGCAGTTGAATTTTATTAACGGGTGCATTAAAGCAGTGATTTAATACTACTTCTTTGTCTTTTCTTAAAATTAGAGGAGACAAAGGTAATGAATTCAATGGATATTTGGCCTGAAAATCAAAACTTGAGCCCAACATCTCCTCCTGGGAGCCAGTCCAGGAACTCCAACCCCTAAGTCCTGCTATGTCAAGTAACTAACTCGTCCTTCACGCTGCCCAATTAAAAACTAATTTATTTGAAATTTTGATCATTTATATGTATATATTACATTCATACGATTCCAAATTCAAAAGGCACAGAAGGACATACAGCAAAGCCAGGCTCTCTCATCCCCATGTCCCAGCCACCCAGTTTTCCTCCTCAGTGGCAAGAAGGTCCTTGTTACTCTTTCCAAAGATACTGTGCATGCATATTCAAGCAGATATATAAATTCATTTCCTCTTTGCTTTATTTTTAACAGATACTAAGATGCTATACATACTGTTCCGCTGCTTGCTTTTCCATATACGTGAAGACAGTTGCACATTGGTCCACGAACCCTCCCTCCATTCAGCAGGTGCCTCACGTATCCACTAAATGAACATGACCAGCCTCCTTCTGATGAAGGTTTAGGTTATCACTTCTTGTTGTTACAGATACTGCTGCAGCAAATGGCCTCCAGTCATGTCTTTTTTCACATTTCTTATGGAATTATGAATAACTGTATTAAGTTGTCCAAGCTCATACCTTGAACTTACCGTGGACTCCTCTTCTTTCTTGGCCTTTATAATAAGAAGACTACTAAATCTTGCTGATTTTTCCTTTTTAAGCACTTCTGGAGAGCTTATGTGTAGGTGGCATCCTGACCTTCTTATGTGTATCAAATTGCTTATCGTGATCAGGATATCTCCCCTGCCAGGTAAGTATTCAAACTGGTTATCATTCACAATGACCCTATGAGGTGGGTGCCGTTATTATCCCCATTTCACAGATGAAAGGCACAGAGAGGGTAAGTAACTTGCCATTCACACAGCCAGTAGGTGGTAGAGCCAGAATGAACCCAGATGTTCTGGTTCTAGAACAGTGCTGTCTAATAAACATGTAATGTGAGCCACATATACAATATCAAAGTTTCCACTATCTAGGTAAAAAAGGAAATGGTAAAAGGTGAAATTAATTTTAATATCTTATTTAACCCAGTGGATCCAAAATATTATCACTTCAACATGTGGTACCAGCCATGTTTGAAGTTCTTAATAGCCACATGTGGCTAGTGGTTACCATATTAGACAGTATGTCTAGAGCTGCTTTTAGCCTTGATGAACCATCAACCCTTTAACTGAAGCCAGGGTTACTACTATCTCCCTTCTTTTCCCCACTAATTCCAACCAGTCAAAACACTAGTAATGAAGAAAACATTGAATTAGGAGTTAGAAGAGCAAGATTACTGTGAGACTTGTACTTGGGCGAGTAGTTAATCTCTCTAAGCCTCAGCATTTCATCTGCAAAATGGGGATGAGTTTGATGATGATATTGCCTAAATCACAGAATTGTCCTAGAAATTAAATTTTATTTTCTTTTATTTTTAATTTTTTTTAACGTTTATTTATTTTTGAGACAGAGCATGAACGGGGGAGGGGCAGAGAGAGAGGGAGACACAGAATCGGAAGCAGGCTCCAGGCTCCGAGCCATCAGCTGGTGAGCCTCTGGTTTAGGGCCGGCCGGTTGAACTCACGACCGCAGATTGTAGTCAAAATCTGACCTGGTGAGCTGAAGTTGGACGCTTAACCGACTGAGCCACCCAGGCGCCCCATAGAAATTAAATTTTAAAAAGGCAGGTAAAGCACTTAACATAGTGCCTGGCACAAAACGTAAATCTTCAATAAATATTAATTATTATCATTACTTAGTACTATGACTCTTACCATAAATTATTATCTCAAGACAACACATTGCTTTGTTAGATCACAGGCTGCTTATTCAGTTTTCATTTTTGTCTCAGCACTTAAAGCATGAAGGAAATAGCAGATGCACACAGGGGTGAGGGAGGAGGAAACTTTATTTGGAACTCTATTATACCCCAGGTATTCCAGAGACTTTATGCATATTCTACCATTAAATTGTCATGACAAGTCTATCAGGTGCTTATTTATAGTCACCATTTCACATAAAGGAATGGAAATCATTAGTTGTTAATGTTAAGCAAATTGTCCGGAAGACGAAGAGTTTGTAGTGGAACCCGTGTCTGTCAGACCCCAGAATTTTTGCTTTTGGACTTTATGCACTGTTTTAAGCACTAACAGTAACCAGAATAAAGCCATTTTGCTTTCTGTATTATATTCAAGCTTCTTACAAACTCAAATTAAGGCATTTTGTCAATAGTAATTAAGACTACCTCCTACTAAATCATTATTTCCTATGCCAGCCCATCTAGGTAAATCTGCCTACTGGCATGACCTCAAGGATTAAAATTTTAGTATCTGGAAGAGCTATAAACCTTCTTCAGTGATGACAAAAGATCACAGATCTTTCTTCAACAATGCAGAACATGTGTGCCTGTGACTTACTCTGTATTAAGATCACCACGTATGTGCTCACATTTTCCACGTTAATGCAACCAAGGACTTTCATTAAAACAAACTAACTTGTTACATTTGAGCCAGAGCATGGTGTGGTTATGAAATATAGAGTAAT